TGTCGACGTCAGCGTCCTTGCGGAATACCGTCGTCGCGTCGAGGAGCACAGCGCGCGCTCCTCTGATTTGGCTAGCGCTGTGCAGCAACGCGATTCGGCCAAGAAGAGGTGCGATGATCTTAGGAGACTACGACTGGAGGGCTTCATGGAAGGCTTTAGCACCATCTCGCTTCGCTTGAAGGAGATGTATCAGATGATCACTATGGGCGGGAATGCGGAGCTCGAACTTGTCGACAGTCTGGATCCGTTCAGTGAAGGGATCCTATTCTCCGTCATGCCGCCCAAGAAGAGCTGGAAGAACATTAGCAATCTGAGTGGTGGCGAGAAGACGCTTTCGAGTCTTGCACTGGTGTTTGCGCTACATCATTATAAACCTACACCCTTGTATGTTATGGATGAGATTGATGCTGCTTTGGATTTCCGAAATGTGAGTGACCCTATCCCCCAACCCCCTCTCACTCTTGCTGTCGCTTTTTCTACCCCATTTAATCATTCTCGAGGGGAGTATCTTAACGACATTGTCTGATGTGTAATGCACAGGTCTCCATCGTCGCCAATTATATCAAGGAGCGCACCAAGAATGCACAGTTCATCGTCATCTCGCTGCGGAACAACATGTTCGAGCTCGCGGCTCGTCTTGTGGGCGTGTATAAAGTGAATCATATGACCAAGAGCGTGACGATCGAGAACCGCGACTTCATCGCCAGGAATGCGGTTGCGCGGCCGGGTGGAGTCGGCGGTGGCGGGGTTACGCAGACTGTGGTGAGGTGATGGGGTTTTGGGTTAGACAAAGATAGTGATGGCTGATGGCTGATGATTGATGAGGAAGTACTGTTATGAATGCTGGTATGAGATGGCTTGCAATTACGATGATATCCGGATAAACATTATAAAGCGGGTTTCTAATGGCACTTTGGTTTTATCGGTGTATACAATCCACGTTTGATAAATCGTTAGGTACCCCTTGGTGAGACAGGGATTTCAAACAGAGATACCTAGTCATCGGTCAAGCGAAGCCGTTCGAGGGATTCTATTGATGGACGAGATGCCATCGATTCGTTATCATTGGCCGTATTGGCGTATTTCCGGAACAACCCGCTGGGGGACGTGCTTCCAATTTGGTCCTCGACCGTGGCTGGGCTGTGTCCCTTGCATCCCTGGAGTGTTCTAGTCTCGGATTATGTGAGATTTCAGGTTCGATGTCCGTTTCAATGCTTTGGATGTGCTGGTTGGTGTGCGGTGTGTTGTAGGTATAGTATAGTGCCTTGCATAAGGTGGCAATCATACTCGCCGGTCTAGACGCACACAGCTACCCAGAACTAGCACTAGCTTTAATTTCGCGTATTGTTCTTGCAGCCCTAACCGTGGGGACAATCGACACGCGACAGAGATTGCCATTCATCGAGCCAACAGATAAATGCTTGAGGTTTGCATGGGACCTGGCTCGTTGACGACGCTACGGCTTGGCAGGTGATCGAGGGGAGGAACTATGCGCCGTGGGGACATGAACACTTATTTTACAGTATGGACGAATGTGCTAACCTACTATGTTATAGGCCTTGTTTTTTTTGCTGCTTATTTGGTCTACTTTGGATTATGGTTGGTCCCGGCATGTTACTTTAGTATGATGACTGCGGCTTGTTCATGGATTGTGACGTTCTAATTACAGTTCATCCGTATCTCGTTTTAGATTGGAGTAATAATAATAATAACGCTATTATCAAAAGGACCCCTTCACCTGGCTTTCGCCAATCTGTTGTCCGTATTGACTAATGCTACCGACTACACCTCCCGGATATAGAGGCAAGGGAGAGCCGGGCCTATGCTATGGACCATAAGTTATGAGTATGCTGCAACACATTTGAATGCATAATACGTTACTAAAGCACGTTGATGATTCGTTTCAGCTCGTATTACCGCTTGAAGACTGGCTCTTACACAGACCTCCTTTTTGGCCCAGCGGAGGACAAGGCACGCTTATTGTTGCTCCTACCGTAGTATCATCTTGCCAATCTGTACGGTAGGCCAACGACCCCTGGATTTCTTTGCTCCTTGCCGCTTTGCGACAAAAGGCGTATATGACTGAGCAACTCTAAACCCCCGAGCAGCTGTGGTTATTTCCTCGATTGCCTGCAATCCCTTCCCAGCTGGTATAACGTCGCTAAAGAGGCTCTTACCCTACTTATGTCGTGCTACTCTACAACTCCCCTTCACGATGTCTGTATATTGCGCCTGCCTCTTTGGTCTGGCGTTTGCTTGTAGCTGGCGCCCTTGTCGAATATGCCTGCTTTACGCCTGCCTCCAGCAACCTAATGAATTCATCAAATGTTAACTTGTTGGCAATGGCGTTAAGAGACACAAGATTAATCCCGTGAGATGCTAAACCGATGGATTCCAGTCAAACATTCATTCCATTCACCCTCTTCGATTCATTTATTTCAGACAGATAAACCATCAGATCATATCCAGTGAAAGAAACCCAATACTTTCCGTTAGCTTTTCAACCACTAACACAGACACGGCCACCTGTTGTACGCCTCTAGATCATCTTCCTTTGAGGCAGTTGTTCGCGAGCCTATCTATATCTTACCCAGCAAGGGGAACAGGCTATTTAATAACTTCGTGATCTTACCTATGAGCTGAGCAGGTCCCAAAACTGAGAGCGCGACTGAGATTTGTGGTGCATACATAAGGCTGTGGGATCCCAGAACCAACAACCTGGTGGGCTCGAGATATATCGCCATTCAACATTCAACTAGTGTCCGCCGCCTTAACCAACAATCTTGCTTAGTGTACCACTTCCCACAATTTGTTTTTTTTCTTTCGGGCACCACTACGCGAGACGACCATACTCATCGTGGCGTCATGAGTTCTAATACATCTGGCGCTGGTCCCTCTCAAGGGGCTAGGTGAGTCCCAGGAGCTCTCCGTCGTGTTTCCCAGTTTTGAAGACAGACTTCTGACCCGAGATATAGTCAGCCAACAGCCTCTCCCTCCTCCGGCCCATCTGGCACCACCACAGTCTCGGGTAGCGAGGACCTGGTTACCCAGGCGCCGCTAACGGCACCGTCGATGCAAATGCCTCGGCCCCCTGAGGCGGTGAAGATCAGCACTCAAGGGAACACCTCAACCTACGCAGCCCAGATCCCGGGGGGAGGAATTACGTACGTCGAGGTCATAGACCATGTGGCCCCCCTGCCTCTCAGGGTCCGTGTCAAGGAGGAGATCAAAGAGGCTGGTGTGACGGCCGTCAACTGCTGCCTCGGGTGCGTCTGCGGACTCTGCTGTGGGATTTGAGCGCGGAATGGGGAATACTACCTATGCGTATACGGCCCTGGCTTGTAATAGCTTGCAGGTGTTGGTCAGGGTGGGCTGGGCAGGGCACTTTGGGCTTCTCCTCCGCCTCCACTATGCTCGCCTCCACCACTACCTACTCGTTGCTCGGGGAGCGGGCGTTGCGTGTGCTGTTTGTTTAACAAGCGATGTTTTGGGTATCGTTATCCGCAGTGCCGGATTTGGAATTCGACGAAGCAGAGTCTTCACCAGGGGCGATTATCTGGGATTGACTGAGGTCCTAGCGTAGCGAATGAGGTTTGTTTGTGCTGTATCCATTCTAACTTGTCATGTAGAACATGTTGATTAAACACGAAGGTATCCATCACACCCTTTTTGGGCCTGGAAGTCTTGTTTCAGTGATGTTTAGATAGTGGATGATTTACATACAGACAGCATTGCCACGTGGCTCTCGTGGCCTTTGTGGTCATGGATTATAGCGCGTAAACAATCGACATCTTGGCAACGCCATGGTTGTTTGTGTCAAATCCAGGAGGCTGGGGATACCTACGATCCACATGCCGTATCTTCTATATATATATTAAATTCCCACCTGGGTACTGTACTATCTGCTACTCCTTAAACTTCCAGATAACCTAACGGATTACCAAGCACCACCTTGGACAGTTTCGTTTGGATAGTTCCTTTCTCGTGTAGGCCGTAGTAGAAGGAGGTCATTGCTCTTCTGTGCACAATTCAGCATAACGCGTATCAGTTATTTTCGGCCCTATTATATTATTTGTTCCATGATGGATCGAGGACGCAAGTTGCAGTATACGTAGCCCAAAAGCGGTAACTGCCGGTCGAGTTCTTTTGATTAGGTAACGTAGGCCCTCATGGAATCGGCATTCTAGCGAAACTATCCAACCCTGTCTCAAAATAATGTAATACTATTGGTCGGTTTTTACTTTATAATGGAAAGGGAAACACCTAAAGATACTTATGCACTCACGTTATATCGTGCGCGGTTACAAGATGTGTAGATGCGTGGCGGAAAATACTGCATATCGTAGGTCCGCATCCAGATGACGGTATTAACTAGATAACGTCTCCTATCATCGGCATTAATCACTTGCACTCCCATAAGACCTCAGGCCATAACAGTAAATTATTCTGGCATATATTCGGCTTAGCTATCGCAAGGCAGCCTAGCTGCCTGTACAGGTTGAAAAAACACCACCTTATGTACTTATCTACCAGTATTTAAGGACTGCTTCGACACCGCGACTTAAAAGTGTAATAGTGGGGCCGCTCGTACAGTTATATACACTCAATAAGATCATAAAATAACACTCGGATAATTGTTTTATTAGGTATATATTGCTGTAAGTACGGCCCCGCTATTCCACTTTTCAAGTAGCGGTGCCGAAGCAGTCCTTAAAGAGATAGGATTCAGGATGATTAATCATGTTCATTCTTGATATACTACATATGCATACTTACGTGCCCAGTGCTGGAGAGTATTGTACCTCAAAGAAAATAACCTTGGTATTGTGGCGTTAATGTGGCTTACTTGAAGCTAACCTCCTAATGCTAATTCGGACTAGATACCTGTAAGAATTTAACTTTATCACCGATCTACATTACATACTTACATACTCTTATATATGTATACTTACTTACGCTACGGACATGTAGCAGGGGTTAAGCAAGTGGGTAATCATCGATCCGAATTGGTGTAGTGGCCAACATTTGACGCTCTCAAAATTTACTCGTCTTGCCGATCTTTATCGGAGAGATGTAGAATAGGGAAAGTTCCGTCAAGCCCGGGGTTCGATTCCCCGATTCGGAGTTATGTTCATTTTATCATTCTGTGTCGTCCTCTCTTTGCATATGATATCTTTTTTTTTCTTTTTTTTTTTCATCTCTCTGTACGTACGCCACGTGGATCCCATGCTTCACGCTTAATTTGTATCCTTACAGTTAGCTGCACACTGTAGTTGATTGAGATGTACTGCAGCACTCTTAGCGCATAGCCATCGCTTCATCTTGACCCTTGGCGAAATGTTTGAATAATGTTGGGTGGCTAGGGGGTACGATATCGTACGTAAGTAATGGGTGAGATAAACAGCTGTGCGTATTGCTCTATCTAACTAAGTATTCGTACGAGAGGAGGTTCTCGTGCGGAGAATTCTCTTGTAGAAGAGAATTCTGTGTACGCACACCGCCTACTAGATTGAGCGAACAGGTCGACTGCCAAGTCGTACGAATAGTATCGTACGCAGTCAACACTATTATCACAACAAATAACATGTTTTTACGTGGACGGACAAACCAGCACTTTATTCCACCACATGAACATGAAGCCTGAGCGGGATACTCGCTCGGTAAGATAAGAATACGGCCGGTAATGTATGATATTGTGTTTCACTGTCGGATATATATACTGTATTGAACCAATGAGGTCGATTTCATTAACTCTCAACGGCCTAAAGCATATGTGTGTATCCTCGTAGCCTATCAAAACAGGTCATAGGTTAATGATGATACATAAGTCAATACCAACTACGCCGGCTCATCATATGTCCACACCCTGACAATCTACCGCTTCCCCTATAGTGACAGAGTATATGTTTTTGAACTAACGAAGAATTGGAGATACATCGATATCTTCTATTATTTTAGATATAGACTGTACTGCATGCACATCAGGGGGGTGGGGGAATACCTGTGAGTAAGCCTTCGGGTCACCTTTTACTTTCCACTATCTGTATGAGGCTATGAAAGCCACCAGTATTATCAAAGAAAAGACTAATCGGCAACTAGCTCTGTGTTGCCCCAGACGGGCCAACCCGGAGTCCACTGGTATCACTTGCGTTCAATGGGAGTCGGATATCCGTACGTGTATACTAGAACATATGGACCCGTAGCACACAAGGCACATATCTTAATATACATACCTGCATAGCCCAATATTAAACTTTATAGTAGATGGTATATCCATAGATCTAAATTATAAGTTTATTTTCTTGGCCATTTTGTTCAGGCCGTTTTGACCAACGTCTGTCGATCACACTCACTACCTTAACGTGAAACGCTATCTTCACTGCATCCATCACTTAACCTAACCTTGGTGTTTGCAGCCGGTATGGCGCCTCATATTCTAGCAGGTGTGGACATGGGAAATACTCCCTTCTATATCATCGCCATCGTAGCGGCTCTATATCTTACCTACCGCTGGGCTCTGCCAAAGCCAATACCAGGTATTCCTTATGATGAGAGCGCAAAAAATAGCCTCTTGGGAAGCCTTCCTGAGATCATCTCGACATTGCGTACCACGGGGAAGATGAGGCCGCTCTTCATAGATCAACTGAAGAAGCAGAACTCTGCCCTCACTCAAATATGGATGGGACCATTAACAAAGCCTGTTTTGCTCCTTTCCGACTTCCGAGAGACGCAAGATATCTTACTAAGGCGTACCCGGGAATTTGATCGGGGTCCCATGACAACGAGTGCCTTTGCTGGTATCATCCCAAACCACCACATTGCCATGTCATCTCGAGATCCTCGATTCAAGGGAAATAGGGAAGTCATCCGAGACTTGATGGCGCCTAACTTTTTAAATGAGGTAAGATGCCCCAATAACCAGGGATGGCAAATAAGCTCACCATCCCTCCAGGTTTCTGCACCGGAGATTTATACGAAAGCAACTGCTCTTGTCGACCTGTGGGCTCTCAAGACCGAACTAGGAGAAGGTCAGCCGTTCAATGCGCGCGGGGACATATACGACGCAGCGATGGATATCATCAATGCTGCTGCCTTCGGCCTGGGAGACGATCAGACCACTATCAAAAACCAATGGAATTTTCTTCGTTCCAAACCTGGCTATAGGCCTACGACCGATGATTACGGAGCCGTTGTCTTCCCATCTCTCCCTCTCTTGCCAAATATCGCACCTATTGAGGCGATCGGAGCTCACTTGGGAGAACAAATGAGAACCCCCTTCCCAAGATTGACGCACCGATTCCGGATGTTGACAAGCCCGACATTAGCCAAAGACTATGCTCTCAAGGATAAGTTCCTCCATGACGAGATCAACAAGGCCGTCGTGCGCCTTCGTAAGGGCGAGGGCGGGTTGCGGTCAGCTATGGATCACATTATACAGCGAGAAATGAGTGCAGCAGAAAAGGCCAAACGAGAGCCAGTTTTCCACTCGCCACGAATCTATGATGAGGTAAGGCTTACCTTTGTTAACTGAAGGACTTTATTGTTAACTATTCATCAGCTTTTCGGATATATCGTTGCGTAAGTACTTTTCTTCTCGTTTAGGCGACTTTTGGAGTATAAGCTGTCCTTTCTGCGCTATGAAAGCGCCTAAAGGCTTCTGGAATCCTCACAAACCACGCATAAAAAGGCTATATCTAACTCGGCTTTTAGAGGTCGCGATACCAGTGCGACTTCATTATCATGTAAGTGAAGTCTAATTTGGCACTTCTCCTCTGCCTCTAGGTCTATCCATTATGCGGGTATAATAGTTTGACACTGAACTAATTACTTCTGTCCTCACAGGGATGGTCAAGAATATGTCAGACTATCCTGAAGTCCAAACCAAGCTGCGGGAGGCTCTTCGCACGGCGTACCCGGAGGCGTATGCTGAGAAGCGACAGCCAACTATAGTTGAGCTATGGAAGACGCCGGTTCCGTATCTCGATGCCGTCCTGGATGAGTCGCTCCGTTATAACGGACCTTTCCCCGTCACCGGACGCGAGGCTACGGTCGACACAGAACTCTTGGGATACAAAATTCCGAAGGGAACCCTGACATTATTCATTTCGGATGGCCCTGGGTACCACTCTCCCCCTATCACCGTACTCGAGCACACCCGGAGTCAGTCATCACGCGAGAAGGAACTTTTCGGATCCTGGGACCCGAGCGATATGCATCTTTTCAAGCCCGAACGCTGGTTGAAGACGGGTGAGGACGGGAACGTAGTGTATGACGCCCAAAGTGGACCGATGCTCGCCTTCGGCTTTGGCCCACGTGGTTGCTTTGGCCGCCGCCTGGGGTACCTTGAGACTCGCATCGTTCTGGCGTTACTAGTGTGGAATTTTGAGTTTCACCAGCTTTCGGGCAAGTTGGGATCTCGGGATGCGCGTGACGCGATCACGAGCACCCCGGTTTGGTGCTACGTGTCGTTAACCAAGATAACATAAAGGCCATTGCAGAATAGCAAGCGCATAATACGAAGCTTGTTAGAGGGGTGTGGCTGGCCGTCAAATGGGTATTATGAATGATTCTCTATTTATTATGGATATACCATGGAGATGACGTGTTTACAACATTGGGTCATAGCATGATCTGTGTAGTGAAACAACCACATTCTTTGATACTAAGCTCTCCCCGTTTAGATCTTCTCAGTCACATCAATCTATGCAAAAGAATTCTGATGTTAGCTGTACCGTAGCCTGTCGTCACTGTGAGGAGTGCGGTTCCCGTTTTAAGTATTTTTTACCAGTAAATTTAAGATTATATTACCCTCAGGGGGCGTAATCACTTAGTACTACTAGCCCTGTTGCGTTTGCCAACCCCTTCAGATAAGGATGGCCCTTTCTACCTCAGTTACTTGCTGTTCAAGCTTCGTTAGTATAAGGTAAGTGCCAATAGAAGACATTACCAGCGCTCCTGTCCAATTGCTTGATACAAACCACATACCACGTCCATATAATGGCGATCAACGTCTCCAGTAAAAATACGATAAGTACGGCACAGTCGATATGAAACCGTTGTCCTTCATATAGGAGTGTTGACGTTCATATCTATTGCCCCCCTAACTATCAAGGGCCTCATACAGACGCCGTGAAGTGAAAACCAACCCCAGAGGGAAGAACGCACGGAGGTAGACGAGTCCGAGCCGTATAGTTTGCCTACGAAGTACAGCCTCTCTGTGTTCCTCCTGGTTAGGCAAATCCTATTATCCTAGCGTCGGTAGCCACCGAAGCACTAACAAACGAGAAGAATGACGGCCGTGCTACTCACAGGGTCTGAGAACCGTGAGATAGCATAGCGCCTCAGTCAGCTCATTTTTTACGAGTTCCCAAGATAATATAGTCCACCCTCCCTATAAGCGGTACCGCCTTTAGTTGTATATCTCACGCAGTGTGGAGATAAAGTGGTGTAAGGAATTAGTCTTCAAATGATTCGGATTTTGCCGGATTTTGCCAGAACGCTTGCATACTACCATGCTTATATTGTTCTTTTAGATTATAGAAAATCATCTCGAACATAAAATGTCATTGACAATACTAATCGGCGGGCGTAATCAACCAACTGTGGCCCAAGTGAGCGTATGTCTCTCACTCCGAAGATCGCGGCCTCGCAGTTGATCACATGGCAAGCAGAACGACCCAACTGCACGCCCATAGATGAATGATTCACACGCGATTCTACACCTGCTATAGGATGCACCGAAATCCATCAGCGCGGGTGGGAAGACTGTGGATATTACTCGCATCGTCTCTTTTAGTGTACCTGATCCTCCTCGCGCGATCCGGCGGCGCAGAAAGCCCACCTCCTAATCTCAAACCTCCCATACCTGCTAACAGGCCCTCATCCGACGTATACCAGTCCCTGAATCTCAGCGAGCAGGAATGCAAGGCTACGTTCCCGGATCTGACCGAAGACCTCGATGCCACGATAGCGCTCGGCCCTTTCACACTGAAGCAAGCGCATGGCGCCGGGCCCCTCCAAGCCCGTATCAAAGATGGACGGGTGAGAATGTCAACAAATTCCACAACGCCCTCCCCTTCACCTAAAAATTCCTGTGTTAATTATGCTGCTAATAGCTCTACATCA